AGTAGGAGATGACACCCATTCTCAAAGGGGCACAACGAGGTTTATGCAGTAAGGTTTGGATGGCGTTTGAAGATGGACGTGCTGATTATTACAAACGGAACGGTAAAACACAGGCTGATGGGCAGGGCAGTAGCGTTCTACAAGTGCCCTGTGTGCACAGAGGAGGAGCACATCAGCAAGTAACCAAGTCATTACGCAAGAGCAGAGGGCAAGTCGAGGCAGGCTGGAGAATAAAGAAGATCTAAAATTGTTCTGTAGGAGCCTCACAGATAATTGTCTTGATTCTCCTTTTGCAGGAAATCTGCCTTGTCCCCACCCAAAGTCCTCACTTCCACCTACGTCAGCAATCTTCATGTTCCCTTCATTTCCCCTGTGAACAACAAGCTACTCTCCAGCCAGACACCCACCCTCCTTCCCCCAGCTCCCGTGACAGTCTCTCTGTCCTACTCTCCTGTGTGTGCAATGGGCACCTCATCCCCTCCCAACACTTCACTACCATTTCCCTCCACTGGCCACTTCACAGCCATGCACGTCTTCCTCCCTGGCAAGCAGCTAGTCACTGCCATACAGCACATGTGTCTCACTTCCCCACTTAACTCTGGCCTGAGTGTGTTGGCAACACACCTGTTTTCTCTTGATTGGAGGAATTGTCAGCCTGGTTCATTGATAGACTCTCTTTTGAGTTCTTCTTTTCCTCTACAAGGGGGAGACATAATTGTATAAACTTCAGGTGTACATAACATGATACATTTCAACGGGATTAAGTAATTTCTGCCAGGCCATTTGCTGTGCATTATTTATCATCTGGGATTATTGAACCCATCAGCTTCCCCCAGGTGGTTTAAGTCCCCAACCAACGCCCCCAACCAGCACTGATTCACTTGGATGTTCTCTGTACAGTTCACGTGAAATTATCTGGCTAAAAGGAGCTGTGAATATTTTCACATTTTACAACTTCCATGCCCGATAGTCCCCGAATAGCTTCACAAAGGATCTCTGTGCAGAGCTGCTGAAACGCAGCCACCTGCGTGGAGAGCAGCAACGCACTAGCATACAGATAGTTGTACAACAGTGGAGTCAGGAGGGGAAATTTTCAGCTGGGCTGGGAGGAGAGGGAGTAGTGCAGGCTGCCGCCCTAGCCAGGCTCTCAGGGAGCCGCCACACTGCACAGAGTCAGCGACTCAGAGTAGCCAGCTTCAGCTGGTGTGAGAAGCGTCTCCCCCCCCCGCACCCCGCCCAGGCCCGGCTGCCAAGGGGAGTGGCTGAACATGCCGGGGGACTGGGAGAGGCAGAGACGCAGTGAAAGGACAGAGTCTCCTCTCCCCCGCAGGTAACACTGGTGGGGTAGGGAGAGCGCGGCGGCCGCGGGCTGAGCACAGGGCAGGCGAGGGCGGAGGTTGTTGGGTAAAGGAGACATGTGGGGCGGTTACGTGTCCCCCCCCTTTTAAATTTGTGTCCCCACCCCGCCCCCAGTATCAGGAGGTACGGGTCATCTGTGGCTAGAGCAATACTGTTACCAAACTGAGCCAGCCTAACAGTGAAACACAACATGGTCAAGTACTAAAAGGTGCAACTTTTAGTGGATTCCATCCCTGATTCATGATTTAATTTGGAATTGGAACCTGAGAAGCCAAGGTTTAACCACTTCATCTACAACCACTGATTTGCCAACCAATCCCAGTCCTCATGGATATCTATGTTAAGCTGCTATCTACAGCTCTAACATTTAAGGCTATTGGGCACCTATGAGACATGCCTCCATCAGACAGCATTTACCACTGAAAGCCACACCAACCATGAGTACTAACACCCTAGGAGCTATGTGCACACGTATGTTGAACGTTCAGGGATGTTTGGAGCTTTTAGCTGGGGACCAGCTCTAGCAACCCAACGTACTTTCCCCACACGTGATCATACTGGGGTCTAAAATGTTCCTGTTCTTTTCCATACCTGGCTCCTGATTCCTGCCTGAGATATTTTCATAGTCTGAAAAATAAGATGCAAACGAGTTGGAGTTAGCACCAATTATTGCACACATCATTCATGGTCATCATTTAGGGGGTAAAATTCTTTCCTAACCTACCCAAGGAACACTGGGGGAACAGAGGGGTAGTGGCTAGTTGGCGTCTCCCTGGTACAGAGCAGGATGGGTCATGGGAGAGCTGAAGCATAATGTGCTAAAATGCACCCCTTACTGCTACTCCAGAAGGTAGCAGTGCTCCTCTTCCCCTCACCGCTATTCCCAGGGCTTCTTGCTTACTGCAGCACCCAGCCGGGGGGGCCAAGGGGCTTGCTGCAGCACCCAGCCAGGGGGGCAGCACCCAGCCAGCTGTTCAAAACCCTTGTGACTCTTGCAGTGTGAACAAGAACAACAACTAATCCCCGCCTTAGCCTTCAAGAGAGCACCAAGGCCCAGGTCCTGAAAGGTATTTAGGCTCCCAACTTCCACTGAAATAGGTGCCTAAACACATGACTTATGAGGAGAGGCTGTGGGAACTGGGATTGTTTAGTCTGCAGAAGAGAAGAATGAGAGGAGATTTGATAGCTGCTTTCAATAACCTGAAAGGGGGTTCCAAAGAGGACGGATCTAGACTGTTCTCAGTGATACCTGATGACAGAACAAGGAGTAATGTTCTCAAGTTGCAGTGGGGGAGGTTTAATTTGAATATTAGAAAAACCTTTTTCACTAGGAGGGTGGTGAAGCACTGGAATGGGTTACCTAGGGAGGTGGTGGAATCTCCTTCCTTAGAGGTTTTTAAGGTCAGGCTTGACAAAGCCCTGGCTGGGATGATTTAGTTGGGGATTGGTCCTGCTTTGAGCAGTGGGTTGGACTAGATGACCTCCTGAGGTCCCTTCCAACCCTGATATTCTATGATTCTATTAAAGGTCCTTGGTTGCCTTAAAGCAGAGAAATGTTTTGTGCTGACATGACTGCTCAGATTCAGCTGCCAGTGCATCTGTGGGGGCAGGTGAATGTCCAGCAGAGAGAGACATCACATCATCTCTTTGCATTTCAGCCAGCCTGAGCTCATGACAGGTGCTGGGCTGCTGCCTGCTAACTGTACCCTGTACACCTCATGGATAGTGAAATCAAGGGGGGAGGTACTGGATCCATTGTTGGTGCCTCCATACCTGAGTGTAGCAGGCTAGATTCCCTCAAACACAAACATGCTAAAAAAAAAAAAAAAAAAAACTAACGCTTGATGTCAATAGTGTTACTAATTATCCTGTCTCCAAGGTGGTATTTGGGGCAAGGTTGTGTTAATGGTGATAGCAAGGCAACTTCGGCGCCTTCTGGAATCCTCTCGTGGCTTTGTTCAGGATCTGGTTTGGGTGATCCTGAGGGAGCAGGTCGGAAAGAGGAGGCAACAGGACCGGAACCTCCACCGACAGCTCTAACAGTGTGGTGTACCAATGCTGGCGAGGCCACACTGGAGCCACCAGAATCACCCTCACCCCGTCTCTGCGGATCTTGAGCAGGACCTTGTGCACAAGGGGGAATGGAGGAAAGGCGTAGAGTAGGCGACCCGTCCAGGGAAGCAGGAAAGCGTCCGTGAGGGAGCCCGGGCAGTGACCCTGGAAGGAGCAGTACGCAGGACACTTCCTGTTGCTGTGGGTGACAAACAGGTTGACCTGGGGAAACTCCCACCTTTGGAAGATCGGGTGGACGACATCCTTCAGAGAGACCACTCATGCAAGTGGAAGGACCAGCTGAGGTGGTCCGTCAGTGTGTTCTGGATCCCGGGAAGAAAGGACGCAACCAGGTGAATCGAGTGGGCTATGCAGAATTCCCAGTTGAATGGCCCCCTGGCTTGTTGGTGTCGAACATGGCCATGGTGTTGACCATGAGAACCACCACACAATGACCCTACGAGTGATCCTGGAAGGCTTGGCAAGCAAGGCACACCACCATTAACTCCCTGATGTTGATATGGAGAGAGAGCTCGGCCCACGACCACAGGCCCTGAGTCTGAAGGTTCCTCAGATGAGCCCCCCCATCCCATAGCCAATGCGTCCGTGACCAGGGACAAGGAAGGCTGCGGGCTCTGGAAGGGGACTCCCTCGCATACCACTTGGGGGTTGAGCCACCAGCGGAGGGAGGCGAGGACCCGCTTCGGGACAGTGACCACCGAATTCAGGCTGTCGTGCCCCAGGCAGTAGATGGAGGCGAGCCAAGCTTGTAGCGGCCGGAGCCGGAGCCAGAGCCTGGCATGCCGGGTCACGTACGTACATGAAGCCATGTGGCCGAGGAGGCTCAGGCATCCCCTTGCTGTCAAGGTCGGGACTCGCTGAAGGCCTCGAATGATGCCCATGATGGCTTGGAAACGGGAGTCCGGTAGGAGGGCCCGTACCTGAACAGAGTCCAGCACCGCCACAATGAATTCGATCCTCTGGGTCGGTTCCAGGGTCGACTTTGATACATTGAGAAGGACTCCCAGCCATTCGATGGTAAACCTGACCAGGCAGAGTAGAAACTGCACCTGCTCTCTGGTGTGGCCCCGAAGCAACCAGTCGTCGAGGTAGGTATACACCTGCACCCGCCGTCGATGGAGGAAGGCAGCCACAACTGACGTACACTTGGTGAACACTCTTGGGGCCGTGGAAAGGCTGAATGGAAGGGCCATAAACTGGTAATGTTAGCGGTTGACCACGAAGCGCAGGAAGTGCCTGGGCGCTGGATGAATCGCTATGTGGAAATACACGTCCTTCATGTCGAGGGTGGCGTATCAGTCTCCAGGATCCAGGGAAGGGATAATGGTGCCCAGGGAGACCATGCGGAACTTCAACTTTACCATGAACTTGTTGAGAGCTCGCAGGTCCAGAATGGGTCGGAGGCCCCCTTTGGCCTTGGGAATCAGGAAGTATTGGGAGTAGAACCTCTTGTCCCTTAGTTCCCGTGGAAACTCCTCTACCGCTCCCAAGGTGAGGAGCGCCTGAAACTCCTGAATAAGGAGTTGCTCGTGAGAAGGCTCCCTGAAGAGGGACGGGGAATGGGGGTGGGAGGGCGGGTAGGAGCAGAATTGGAGAGAGTATCCCGCTTCCACCGTGCGGAGGACCCAGCGGTTATTTGGCACCATGCACAGTGGAAGTGGGATAAACGATTCAAAAAGGGCAGGGAAGGATCCGGGGGTAAGTCTGGTATGCCGTCCTCGGGCGTCCCTTCAAAAGGCCTGCTTGGAACCCGCCGATGGTTTGGTTGGGCCCTGGCCTTGCCCAGATGCGGGGTTGGAGGGCTTCCTCCTGCCATTCTGCCCCCGCTGCCTGCAAAAGTCCTGCCTCGGCTGAGGAGGGTAGGAGCGCTGCTGCGGCTGCTGGGGCTTGAAGTGCTTCCGCTGGGGTGCTGGTGTGTGCATACCCAGGGACTTCGTCGTCGCCCTTGAGTCCTTAAGGCTGTGCAGCCGAGAGTCGGTCTGCTCCGCAAACAGGCCCTCCCCGTCAAAGGGCAGGTCCTGCAGTGTCTGCTGCACCTCAGGAGGCAGGCCAGAGGCTGGCAGCCATGAGGTGCGCCTCATGGCAACCCCTGAGGACAAGGTGCGCGTGGCTGAGTCTGCAGCGTCCAGTGAGGCCTGCAAAGAGGTCCGTGCCACTGTCTTGCCCTCGTCAACAAGGCCCCAAACTCCTCCCTGGACTCAGGATGCACAAGCTCCTTGAACTTCAGCATGGAGTTCTAAGAGTTAAAGTCGTAGCAGCTCAGGAGAGCCTGTTGATTGGCAATCCTGAGCTGGAGCCTACCCATGGAGTACACCTTGTGGCCAAACAAGTCCAGCCACTTGGCATCCTTCAACTTGGGAGCTGGGGCCAGCTGTCTGTGCCTCTCTTTTTCATTCATGGCTGCAGCCACCAGCGAGCAGGGCTGTGGGTGTGTGAACATAGTTGTACCCCTTCGAGGGGACAAAGTATTTATGCTCAACCCCTTTGGCCGTAGGGGGAATGGAGGCCGGGGTTTGCCAAATGGTTTTGGCATTGGTCTGGATGGTCTTGATGATGAGCAAGGCCACCCTCGAAGGACCTACTGGGGTCAAAATGTCCACCACCGGTCCTCGGATTTCACGACCTCCTCATCCTGTAGATTCAGATTGCAGGCCACCCGGTGCAGGAATCATAGAATTATAGACTTTAAGGTCAGAAGGGACCATTATGATCATCTAGTCTGACCTCCTGCACAACGCAGGCCACAGAATCTCACCCACCCACTCCTGTATCAAACCCCTAACCTATGTCTGAGCTACTGAAGTCCTCAAATCGTGGTTTAAAGATTTCAAGGTGCAGAGAATCCATCAGCAAGTGACCCGTGCTCCACGTTGCAGAGGAAGGCGAAAAACCCCCAGGGCCTCTGCCAATCTGCCCTGTCGGAAAATTCCTTCCCGACCCCAAATATGGCGATCAGCTAAACCCTGAGCATGTGGGCAAGACTCACCAGCCAGACACCCAGGAAAGAATTCTCTGTAGTAACTCAGATCCCACCCCATCTAACATCCCATCACAGGCCATTGGGCATATTTACCACTAATAGTCAAAGACCAATTAATTGCCAAAATTAGGCTCTCTCATCATACCATCCCCTCCATAAACTTATCAAGCTTAGTCTTGAAGCCAGATATATCTTTTGTCTCTATGGCTCCTCTTGGAAGGCTGTTCCAGAAGTAGGAGGTCCTGATGGGCACACATATCTATCGGGGGTTGCCCGGAGATAGAGGTGCCTGCCACAGACTCGTCAGGGGAGGAGGATGAAGAGGCCAAGAGGAGGAGAAGGTCATCCTGACCCCCCTGCTCCACGGAGGCCCGATGCCCCATGTCGCTGACTGCAGGTGCAGGCTCAGGAACCGGAGTCGGAGGGGTTCCCGAGGTGGGGAGGGGGCCCGACATTTCCTCCACATCTCCAGGAGCGGACCGACTAGCTGAGGCTTCCGGAAATCATGGTTTGGAGGTGGCCGACCAGGAAGCTCCAGACTATACACCTTGGGCCTGGTGGTATGCCCACGGGA